TGTCTCTTCTAACGGCCATTCATTTGAAACCTTTGTAACTCTGTTCAGAGAATCGTTCCGCAAATTTGGAGGACGGATTTGAAATCAGCGTCCGAAAACACGTATGAGTATAGGTTTCATTACGAATGGCCACTTCGACCTGGGATCCTTCCCTTGTGAGTGAGGGAGACGATACGAAACCATTTTGATGATTTGATTTATATGGTTTTTTCTTTCTTAATTGGAACCAATTGGAGAGACTTCACGATCTTTGGATGCATGGTCCCACTTAAAAAAATCATTTCTCCACAGAAATGCTTCTACTTGTCTTTGATCCTTTTTAGCGGACCCTTCGATTACGCGGGACTACGCTAGGGAGCAGAAGAAGAAGACTTGCCTCCAGTCGTTTTGTGTAAGCTATGGCAAATAGTCAAGCAAAGTCTCGTTCAAGGGGCTATCTTGCTTAGATGCAAAGTCTTGCATCTAGGAAATAGCCTTACGTGATCTTTGATTTTGGGCCTGCTGCATCATTCATCATCCAATTAAACAGCCTACTGTGTGGTCCAATTATAGTAGTGACCTGTATTCAGTGCATTCTAGGTTGGGAACATAAAAGAATTGCGCAAGTGGCGTACAAGGCCGGGCGGCCCCTTTAATTTACCTGTATTGTTCTGGATGTAGCGCAAAACACAAATCGGATCTGCCCTAGCAGTAATCAGATCAATAAAATGGCAGAGGTCAACCATAAATAGGGTCATTACCCTACACCTGTGGTTTGTGACCTTTACGATAGTTTATCCAGGGGGGGGGGATCGGAGATCTGGAAGTTAGAGAACTGAGGGTCAGGAGTCGGTCCTATCGTTGAGACTTTTTGCAAAATTTTTACGACCCCCCTCTTCACGAGAAGTTTCATTTCGAACCCCCTCTTCACAGCCACTTTTCCCCTCAAAAAAATACCGTGCGGGGGTGAGGGGGGGGGGTATATAACGCTGAAACGGCAAATTTTCTCTCTCACGTCATCACATGTTAATTTCACGCTACCGAAACAAGTACGACCCCCCCCCACCACAAACTTCAACAAACTACGACCCCCGTTGCTACTTGTAGCAACGTAGGGTTGACCCTGTTGAGGGTGTTGGGGCTATGTGGCGAAGCTACAAACGCGACTAAGGGCTTAGAGCAGTTTAAACAAGACCTAATCCAGTTTCTCAAAGGGAGAACGTAACTGTGATGAAGTCACCAGCAAGAGATCTAGGATGAACAGGCGTTATATCCTATTAGTACATGTAGAAGTACGGTAGCAGTATAAATATTTAAGCAGCTTTCTAACATCATAGCCATACCTCTGAAAGAGGTCCAGGCCTATGGAATTTGCAGAATTTGGCTTACCTAGTCCCTTTTCGTTAAACCTCCCAATCGCGTGTCTTTCCATTCATATGATTATTTTTATTTCGAATTGTCAAAACAGAGGAAAGCTGGCACCTCTGGTGCACGTAGCTCTGCTCACTTCCTACTTACCTGATGCTGTTGAAAGGTTCGCAAAAGAAACTATTGCCACGTAGGACCTAGAGCCTCTCACTACACCAGTGTTCACGCACCGGATTCAATGACAACACTTATGATACACTTGTCGAAAGCGAGACATGACCATGGCCGTTATTCTACGAAAAATGTCCACAAATATGTCTGTTCACTTTCGAATACTCGGCCATTTGGAAGGACCAGTTTCCTTGAGCAATATTGCTAAGGTTGTGAATTTAACACATTGACAACAGCCCCTCATGCGTGTACCTCGGCACCTCTCTGATTTTTTTCACAGTCACCGAAACTTTTTCAATAATCTCACTACTGGCGATTGATGCACAGTATTTCGTATGAGATAAAGCACGCTGTTTTGAAATAATGACGTAAAATGTATGCTAAATAAATCGAAAAAAAACCTAGTCAGAATCGAGTGAAATTGAGATGAACAACCGCGTCTCACTGTCGTCGATGTGTTAAAAAGCCTATAGAGCTCGAACTCAAACCCTTTGTTTCCTGGTGGATTAACCCTCAAGAGCAGTGAAACGCTTGATGTGTCCATGGAACAAGAACAAATATGTGACCAGTAAGAGCTTTCACTCCAAAAGGAATAGAAAGAGCATGAAAGAAAAAACTTTTGGCGTTGGGGGTCCCTTTCTGGGATGGGCCATGCACTTCTCTTCTATGTTGAATTAAAGTTTATCTTGAAAGCGGTTTGTTCTATATAACGACATGCTGAGGTCAGCCAATGTACGACTCAGCGTTTTAATACTCCTAGACAAGTCTGGTACCAACACCCACTGATCCCAGATAAAGGCTAGACTTGGTTAGCGGTGTACGGCCCACGATTTGATCTTCGGATCACGAGCCTGATAAGCAGCTCCGCTTCCCACCACACCGCTTACGCTCAAGTGATCAACATCTACGATTTATGAACATTTACCTATACATATACACTGGAACAAGTCATCGGCTAAAGGAAACTCGAAAATTGAAGGAGCTTCAAATGGGCACGAAAATCCGCTTTTCGTGGTTCGATTTTTTTGCACATATTTACAATACTGGCTTATACCTGCTGCAAGACCTTTACATAAAAGCACTGAGAACCACATAATTTACAAGTTTCCATGGTTACTTACGGAGATGTATTCGTCAGGATTACTGGGGCTAGTGCTCTCCTTTAATCTTTTTCGACTTTACTGCTAAATTTTTGTTATTCCCGCCGGCAGCGCTAGTGTGGCGCGTCCAACTAGATTTTAAGATTTTTCTGCCGGGTTTTCCCCTTGTTTCGGCGATGTATAAAAAACTGGATGCACTTACGATTTCGAACTCCACCGTGTGATGAGCACACGACTATAGTGGCCGCTGCAAAGACGACAACACTCGGTATCATTTCGTTACCCTGAAATAAACAATTGAGCAGGTGAACCCGGCACTTGAAAGGAGTGGGAGGAAACGAAGAAGATCGAGGTGAGGGGTTCAGCTTTTGGATGCATATTCTACTGACCAAAGGGAGAATCGTTAACGAGATGTGCTATAGAAAAACATGTGAAAATCGCCACTTAAAAACGGATAATTTGCAAACATGGCGGTTTTCGAAAGGAGACCCATGTTGTGGCTAGTAGCGTATTTGCAGAGAGGACAAAGAGCCGCGCGAGAGCCGATGAGGAGTGGGACGAGGGGGAAGGTGGACGCCAGGGGA